GGGGGGGGGCGCCGGCGATATTGCAGGGCGGCACGAACTGGGGGCGTGAGCGAGAGGAAGCGGACAGGACAGCCGGCCTCCCCGGCAGGCGCAGCCAGGGCGCAGCAGGCGCGGTAGCTGAAGTGTATGCAGAGCGAAATGGCCGGCATAGGCAGACACCCTGATGTGACACCATGCTGACAGCGGCAGGTGGAAGGACAGCAGAGCGGGCGGGGCGCGGACAGGCGCAGGGACAGCTGGACAGACGGACGGGCGCAAGCACGTCCGCCTCCCGCACAAGTGTACATATACATGAATACGGAAGTGCAGAATCAGTCAGCCGCATTGCTGTGCAGTTGATACGATTCGTAGACACAATGCCCCGGCAAGTCGACCCGTCTGACAGACAGACAGACAGACAAGAAGCAGACAGACAGACAGACAGACAGACAGGCAGGCAGGCAGGAGTGGCGCAGGGCGTGGGCGGGAGTGCACCCACCCCAGCCCCACCTCCACCGCCGCCCGCGCCAAAACACACAATAAGACTTTCATCTGGCGGAGGCCCAAGTTGGCCGAGAAGGAGGAGGTGGAGGAGAAGGAGAGAAAGAAGGGGTGTAGAGTTGCCCTGGAGTCCCCATATGGGCTGCAGATTGGCTGCGAGGGGAGATGGGGGCTCGGCACCACACAGCACAACAGCCCCCAACCCGCCCGCCGCCAGATTCGCCAGCAGAGAGGGCCCTTTCACCTCCCGAGCCTTTCACCTCGCCGTCGGTCTTTATCGAGAGGAGGATCGAGAGTATCGAGGGGTGTGTGCCTTGAGCGCGCGAGATCAGCGCCGGTTAGCTCAGGGTAGATGGAGTCTTCGCAACGCGCAGCCTCGCTCCCCCGCTGCTCCACGGCCCCGCAGCCCCGCTGGAGACGTTCTGTTTATGCGCGCGGCCAGGCCGAGGAGGCCTCTTGGTGGTCGACTCGCCCGCCAAGTACGTACTTATACACAACGCGAGCTGGGCCCCGGGGCCCCAATGACCCATCCCATCACGCCACGCCAACACTACCACCCACCCCCTCCAGCAACATCCTATCTCGGACCATTAGTGGAGCTGCAGCCGGCCTCTTCACGGGGGCCGTGAGCTCCACGTCCTTGTGTAAATGTACCACCCCGCATCTCTTGAGTTTTTGTTGTTTCTGGTTTCTGATTGCCCGGGGCCTGAGTCACTATCGGACCGGCAGGCTGCGAGGCTGTGTGTGCTTAGGACCACCGGCCCGGCACCTGCAACAGCACCCACTGGTCCCGGTCGGGTCCAGGTCCAGGTCCATGACCAGACACACGGGTGGCCTCACCTCCACTGTCCTCTCGCTGCTATGCCCCCCCTCCCCCTTTCCCCCTCCCCCTTGGTCTAGCCTACGCGAGTGGGAGAGAGGGAAAGAGAGAAATATGCTGCAGCGAAAGGCGGAGAAGGGGAAAGGGAGAGCTGGAAGGGAAAAGGGGGGGGAGTGAGACAGGAAACACCAATTGTCATTGCCGGTCAGTCACACTGACTGCTGCTGCCTCATGGACCGTCGTCGTCTGCTCACTGCGCTCTCACTCCCACCGCGCCAAGCCACGCCCTCACACACACGGCACGCCTGCGCATTGCGCTGTCCCGCAGCAGCAGCAGCGCGCGCGCGTGTGTGTGTGTGTGTGAATAAGTACAAAATTGGAT